TCTCTGTCTCTGTCTCTGTCTCTGTCTCTGTCTCTGTCTCTCGTCTCTCTCTGGCCATTTCTGGTTCTCTTTGCTCCCTGCCCATCTCCCGGTTGCTGGGTGACTCAGTGAGCTTTGCATCCGGTCTCATTCATAAATCCGGGAAGGGGTGGGGGGAAGAGAGCCAGGGTTTCTCACCCAGCCTGTGGCCTGGGCAACAGGGTGCGGAGGCAGTGTTGGGGGAATGGGAGCTGAGTTGATGGGCCCCGAGAAAATACATATGCGCAGAACCCTGCTGTGAAGGGGGACTTGGGTGGGGCTGTAGATACATGCAGGGAGGGAAGGAGACAGGGTTGAGGGGATGAGCAGAGGGGGAGGGGAAGTGGAAAACCCAGGCTGAGGAGGTGGGGACGGGGAAGATGGGGGGAAGGTGGCTATAGAGAGAAGAGGTAATGGTGGGGAAGAAGAGATGTCATAGGAAGAAAGAAGCCGTGCTAGATGAAAGTGGGCCTGAGGAGTATTGGTAGCCAGGAGTGCAGTAGGTCCAGACATGAGAGAGGAAGACAGAGGAAGGACCACACTTTGGGGAACACTGAAGGGGAGAGCAGGATTTGGGGATCACTGACTGTTGTCCCTGTCCTCACCTCCTCCAGGTACATGGTTCGGGTCCGAGCTGTGGTGATGGCCCGAGATGACTCCAGTGGGGGCTGGCTGCCTGTGGGGGGCGGGGGCCTCAGCCAGGTGAGCGTGTGTCGGGTCCGAGGGGCCAGGCCCGAGGGGGGGACCCGCCAGGGGCACTACGTCATCCACGGGGAGCGCCTCCGGGATCAGAAAGTGAGCCACCCTGGGGCGTGGGGTTGGGTGGGACCCTGGGGCGGCAGGGGAATGGGGCTGGGATGCAGAGGAGAGTCAGGACTTTTCCCAGCCTGGGGCTGTGGTGGAATGTGGGGTGAATATCTGTCCTAGGGAGAGGAGCTGGAGCTGGGAATTTCTGGAGTATGTGGGGTATCAGGCAGATTCTGTCTACTGCATCTCCTGCTGGTCCCTCCTTACTGGTCTCCCTGTCCCCTTCCTGCTCTCCCACCCAACCCCAGTCTGTTCCACAGAGGGCCTGCTTACACCCAACTCAGATCATGTCCCTCTTCCTCTCAGAACCCTCCCATGGCTCCATCTTGCTCAGAGATCCTCACTACGAGGCCCTACACCAACTGACCCCTGTCTGCCCTAAGTATCTGGAGGCATTTGCTGGGGGTCTGCTTGGAAGTGTCAAATTCGGTTGACAATTTGGGGTCAGCAGGACTAACTGGGTCATCTGGCAGGATTTGAACAGCCGATGTGGAAGTTTCACCTGGGGATGTAGTAGAAAGATTTGTATTGTTTTGAAAAGGCAGGGGCAGACTGGCTGGTGTGGTAGCACACACCTTTCTTTCATCCCAGCACTTGAAAGGCTGAGGCAGGAGGATTTCAAGTTCAGCCCCGCCTGGGGTACACAGCAAGGTCTTGTCACAAAAAAGAAAAGGGGAAGGAGAAAAGCAAAAGGGGTTGAGGGAAGAATAACATTTCACAGCAAGGGAATGATGGGGATTTGGGAAGATGGAGAGGTGTAGAGGGGTGCGAAGATGTTAAGCAGGGATATGAGGGCACATCTATGGCAGTGTAATGGCGATGCTTGAGGTAAGGTAACAGAAAATTATTGAGGCCTCAGGAGGGGATTAAGTGTAATATTTTGGTATGTTTGGTAAAGACTGAGGAGTACAACTATTAGACAGGAAGGTGGTTATCAGAAAGAGGCTACAGTATTTTTTAGACATTCAGTAAGTTTGGGGGTTCTTTCTGGGGTATCAGAGGGAGATGTTAGAAAAATGTCTGGATCAGGGATTGGGAAAGTATTAGGTATCAGATCACATTCCATAAAATTGGGTAGTCATCCTGAGATGTCAGGGTTTGGGGTACACTTGAGATGGGAAATGAGGTTGGTGGGGTACTGGAGTATGCAGAGACCCTGAGAGGGAGTCACAGGTGTGGGTGGGGAAGGAGGAGTCTGACTCAGACCTTTCTGCCCCTCAGACCACCCTGGAATGCACCCTGAGGCCAGGCTTGGTTTACAACAAAGTGAACCCCATCTTCCACCACTGGAGCTTGGGTGACTGCAAGTTTGGGCTGACGTTTCAGAGTCCCGCTGAGGCTGATGAGTTCCAGAAGAGCCTACTGGCTGCCCTGGCTGCCTTGGGCCGAGGTAAGTGCCGTGAGTGGTGAGCACTTGGGCTAGGCGGGGGTGAGGGATAGCAGAAGCCAGGCTGGGACTCATTCTGCCTTTCTCCCTGCCAGGCTCGCTCACCCCCTCCTCTTCCTCCTCCTCCTCCCCTTCCCAGGACACCGCAGAGACCCCCTGCCCTCTGACGGTGAGTCTGGGCTTCCTCCCTGCTGGGAGGTCAGGGAATGGTTCTTGGTCTATAGAACATTCTTGAGCACCTGCTGTGGCCAGCACCAGGGTGTGCACACTGGGGACATAAAATTAGATTTTCGCTATTAATGGCAATTCAATCTCAGTCTGTTTTTGTTTGTTTGTTTTTGTTTTATGGTGATACACACATTCATTTACCAATATTTATTAAGCACCTCCTGTGTACCAGGCAATGTTTTTTAGGCACTGAGGATACAGCAGTGGATAAAATAAAGTTCCTTTCTTCTTGGAACTTTTATTCTCCTGTGGAAAGGCAGGAGAAAAACAGATAGACTTTTAAAATGAATAAATATTAAAAGTGAAGGAGCCAGGCATGATGGTGTCTGCCTGTAATCCCAGCACTAGGGAGGCTGAGGCAAGAAGATCACTGTGAGTTCAGAACCAGCCTGGGCTACATAGTAAGACCTTGTCCCCTGTTCCAAAACAGACAACTACAACAATATTAAAAGAAAATGGAACAGGGGACGCAGGGGTAAGCACTTTTGCCTAGCATGTGTGAGGCCCCAGATTCTATCCCCAGAACCACAGAAGATAAAAAAGAAAGTTAACCGTGAAATGAATGACTACTCTGTGTACCAGTTACTCAGGCTCCAAACCTGGGTGTCAGTCTTAACTCCTTTTATTTTTTATCCTTCTTAGTATATTGTCTGTAAATATGGTTTTACTTTCTCATGGGGACACCTGCTTCTCTCCAACCTCATCTCCTAACTGGACCATCTTAGTGGCTTCCTGTTGTCACCCCCCAACTTATCCCCAGCTCTCTGATCCCCACTCACAGCCTGAGGGCTCGACTGTCACATCAGATCACAGCCCTCCCCTTCTCACAGCCCTCCCAGAGCTCACTCAGGGTAAGGGACAAAGTCCTTACAGTAGCACTGAGGTCCCACACCACCTGGCCCTGGGGTTCTGTCCCTACTCACTCTGCTGCAGCCACGCTGACCTCCTTATTCTCACTGCCTTCAGGGTGAGCACATTCCTCTTGCAGAGCCTTTGCATTAGCTGTTTCTGTTGTCTGGACCGCTGTTGCCCATGTCCCAGTGCCCCTTTCTTTTCCTTTTCTTTAGCTCTTGTGAGACAGGGTCTCCCTGTATTGTTCAGGCTGGCCTTGAGCTCACTGTGTACCACAGACAGGCCTTGAACTCCTGACAGTTTCTGCCTCAGTCTCCTCAGTGCTGAGATTACAGGCGTGAACGGTGAAAAGACAGTTTTCTTATCTATTGGTGTACTGCCTTTCTCCCACAGTAGAGTGTCAGCTGTAGGAGGACAAGGATCTTTTGTTGGTGTATTGTTGCATATCCAATGCCTAAAACAGTGCTTTGTATACAGTAAGTGTTTGGTAAATGTGTTGGATAAATTGAGTGACTGAATGGACGAATGCACAGGATGTTGGGTACATTTTGACACTTGCTGGTCACAGTGGGAGTTGCTGAGAATACCTAGAGGAACAGCATTGGTTCTCTGGGTGAAAAGGAGGAGAATCTCAGGATAATGGGAAGTGGAGGTAGGGCACAGACAGTTCCTGTCTTTGGCACCCTTGCTCAAAAGATGCTGTGCTCAGACCCGTGCAGCAGCCACTGTGTTGTGCATGCCACAATGCTCAGTAGATGTTTATTGAAGGCAATGAACAGATGCAGTAAGGATCAGGATCAGGTTATAGAAGGAAAAAACTAAAGATCTGAGAGTGATACTTCAGCTAGAGCCCGATTGTGATGGGGAGGAGAGCATGGCGGGGGCGGGGGTCCCCAAAAGGTTTGGTGGTAGGAATGAGGTAGGAAGGTGGCTGAATGGCCAAGGGAGAGGGGTTCTGAGAAGCGAGAAGATGCTTTGATGTTCTGTAGGTTGGTGAGCTGAGCAGTTAAGAAGAGGAGTCTAATAATAATAACCACCATTTCCAGCTCTTCCTGTACTTCGGGCACGCAGTGTGCCCTTTACAATGGGTCCTAACCACATCCTTACCAATAGGTACTATTAGGACCCCCATTTTACAGAGGAGGAAACTGAGGCTCAGAGGTGAGCTCTGAGGTGAGAGGGACTTGAACCCAGGCCTGAGCGGCCCCAGAGCCCTTGCTCTCTGTGGGAGGGGGTCTTTGTGGGGACATGGGCTGTGTGGGGGACTCTCCACTCTGATGCCGCCTATCTCCCCCAGTCCCACGTGGACAGCGACTCCTCCTCCAGTCATAGCCGCCAGGAGATGCCTCCCACTGCCGCAGCCCCCATTGCCACGGTGGAGTCTGCCTCTGTCTTCGGGCCCACCACGCCGCCCCAGCGCCGCTGCTCCTTGGCTCAGGTGCGACCCCCAGTGGAAGTTTGGGTGGAATGGGGTCTGGCGCTGGGGCCCTTAAGGGGGCTGGAGCTGAGGCCCAGGGATGTGAGAAGGGATACAGGGATTCCAGGGATGCCTGATTTGACTGCTAAGTCCGGTGGGAGAGAAGCCTAGCTTTCTCCCAGGCTTTGTGAGAGGCTTCAGATGTTTCTCCTGTTGAGATTTTGGGGAGTTCTGAATTTCAAAAAGGCTTAGGGGATGACTTGGACAATTTTCTGGGTATATTAGAGGAGGCTGATACTCGTGAAAAGTCTTCTTAGAGCTGTTTAGTTCAGGCATGGTAGTGCACACTTGTAATACTAGCACTCTAGAGGTTGGGACAGGAGGATTGCTGTGAATGCCAGGCTAGGCAGGGGTACATAAGTGAGTTCAAGACCAGCCTAAGCCTGGGAGCCTTAAGGCACTAGGATCTGGATATTCAAGGTATGAGGTTGGTGTCTGGATTCCTTGTGTCTCTGGGAAGAGAGGGTGAAGCACCTCGGGAGTGGAGCAAGCTCTGGTCTTGAAAGTCTGAATCCTGAAGGATTCTAGGAACAGGATCCTTGGAAGCCTGAGGCCTATATCTGGGTCTTGGGATTTTATTTTTGGCAGTACTAGAGAATGAGCCCAGGGCCTTCATGCTCTTTCATTTTTATTTTAATTTTGAGATTGGGCCTTATTAAGTCCCTGAGTTGCCCAAACTGTGCTAGAATTCATGATCTTCCTGCTGTAGCCTCCCAGTCATGGATCACCTGGAGCTGGTTGAAGGTTCTTCAGAGGCTGAGATAGATTGGGGTGGGGGTGGGCGAGTCACCGGCCTTGCTAACCCAGTCTCCTTGCCCTGCAGAGCTACCCTCCGCTTCTGCCGTTTACGGGGATTCCGGAGCCCTCAGATCCTGTGGCTGGGGCAGGAGGCCCGGGCTGGGGTGGCCGCGGCTATGAGGATTACCGACGCTCTGGACCACCCGCGCCCCTCGCCCTGTCCACCTGTGTTGTGCGCTTTGCCAAGACTGGCACGTTGAGGGGTGCAGCCCTGGGTCCCCCAGTGTCATTACCTGCCCCTCTTACCGAGTCTACGCCCCCAGCACCCCCGGCTCGCCCACCCCCGGGCCCCACCCCTGCACCAGCCAAGGCCTCCCCAGAGGCGGAGGAGGCTGCGCGCTGTGTGCACTGCCGAGCGCTCTTCCGCCGCCGTGCGGATGGGCGTGGGGGCCGCTGCGCCGAGGCCCCAGATCCGGGTCGCCTGCTGGTGCGACGTCTCAGCTGCCTGTGGTGCGCCGAGAGCTTGCTCTACCATTGCCTGTCAGATGCCGAGGGTGACTTCTCGGACCCGTGCGCCTGCGAGCCGGGCCACCCGCGCCCTGCTGCGCGTTGGGCAGCGCTGGCTGCGCTCTCACTGGCCGTACCCTGCCTCTGCTGCTATGCGCCCCTGCGTGCGTGCCATTGGGTTGCGGTTCGATGCGGCTGCGCAGGCTGTGGGGGTCGCCACGAGGAAGCTGCGCGATGAGGACCAGCTGGCAGGTCTGGTGGCAGGACCAGGAACCCAGCATTGAGAGTCCAGGATCCCAGACTTGGACTCGGTTTGAACATAGAATTCAAACCATGGCACATTTGGAACTTGGAGCTTGAGTTTGAACTGAGAGATCCCAGACCTGGAGCCTGGGCCCAAACCTGGGACTGATGACCTTACACCTAGCATCATTAGGATGTCTGTCAAGGGTTCTGAGTTCTGGATTCTCTATCCATTTCCCCACTGAGGAGACTCCTGACATCTCCAGACTGCATCTCAGAGGGCCCCAGGCATACACAGATCCCAGAGAGGGTCTGGAGCGTCAAACTCTTGACTCTGCCCACCTGTCCAGCCCAGACCCCTGCCACACCTGGCACCGTGAACTCTCAGATTACAGCACCGTATTTAGTCAGGAGTTGCCAATACCTGATCTTGCCTGTATCAAATTGCTCCCAGATCTTGTGACCAGAGCATCCAGGACCACTCCCAAGAGGTCCCTGTGTGTTCACCTGAGACCTGGTGTGCCCACATCTGACACATTCTGTAGCCCCAGGATCTCTAGACACCAAACCCTCCTGGGCCTGAGACTGGTATGATCTGGAATCATCCACCAGTCATTGACCCAGAGTCTACCTACTCATGAGTGTCCACAGACCTGATTTCAGTCCAGAACATCAAGATATACAGGGACTCCAGATGCTGTAGGATAGTAGACTTAAAATGTACTGGGTCCTTGGATGTGCTCAAACATGAGATATGCTCTGACCAAAATGATTTGGGAGGCCCATCCCAAGCTCAGCTAGGCTCCGGATACCAGACCCCAAGATGCTCCAGGAGCCAGGGAGTAAAGACCTCTATACACCCCACCCACCGCAAACCAGTGTTCTTGGGAGTTATGGTTCTCACTCATGGATTCTGAGGTGCCTGTTATCTGAGCTGTATGACAAAGCTGTTGGCACCTCAGCTGAAGACCCAGGTCTCAAGTCCTTAACCAGTCCCCCTAGAGCTGGATTTTGAAACCTAGAATGTCCCAGAATCAATCTCTGGCTTCCTTCCAGCCCCACATCCCTAGTCCCCGATGGTCATGGCAACCCAGACCTCTGATCTCTTGGCCCTGAGTGACCCCAAAGTGCTTTGAGAGCACTGGATTCAAGACTCCAAGGTGCCACTGATCCCCAGATGCAGCACTCAAACCCCCACAACATTGGGATTGTCCTTGATCTAAGATCTTGTTTCCCCTATACCAGAGACATTCAGATCTGCAATGCCCCAGAACCCTAGTACCTTCACACTCGAATGCTGTTGCCTCAAATTTCTTAAGCATATGAAACCCCAAGATGCCTCTACATCTGATTCCCCAGCCCCCATTTACGAATCTTTTGAGAACTGTTGTCTCTTGAATCCTGCTATCCATGGCTTCCTGAAGCCCTAAGTTTCCAGACTCCGGAGTTCTGGTCCCCAAGGCCACAGTTCAAGTCCTCCAGCAATTCTCAATCCCTACCCTTTATTCTAGGGGGAAAGTATTACCATTTTGAACCCACAGTCTTGTATTGCAGGATCCCCTGGAACTGCCCACTTCCCCCAATAGAGCCCATTTATTGCTACAGGTGATCGTATAGGCTGTTGGCTAAGCAAAAGCACACAGCTGTGGTGGTCCATGGAATACAGCAAAGGCTGCTGGCCTAGTGAGGCCTTCAGAGGAAGGCCTGCCTTTTTCTTATTTGCACAGACACCTTCTGGACTAGCTACAGCACTGTGGGGACCCTGTCAACCTGACCTTGTAGATCCTCCCCCAAACCCACTCCTGAGACTGGACCCAGGTCCAAGGCCATCCTTTCATTAACCTTTTCCATCTCAGAGTCAAGAGTTGCTTTTGAAAGACTGTTTCATGGCCCTACAAGGTTTCTCTTTTTGGGGAGAGTGGATGTCCAGGGTATCTTAAGATCTGGTATCCTGTATGAGGGGGACTAATTCCTCAGAGCAAGACAGTCTCAATTATTTCATGGGCTTGGGACCTGCACCTGGCTCCAAACATCTGGAAATGTGCAGACCTTTCTTCATTACCCAGATTTGGATGGCCTTGTGGAGTTCAAGGGATAGATCCTTCTATCGATTCTTTTAAATTATTAACTATTTATTGCATCCGGAACCTGTGAGACTCCGCTCTCCCAACCAGACCCTGGGGTGGGTGAGAGAAGGGAGGAGCATCCCTCCCATTCCCACTCTGCCCAGCTCTCATCACTGTCAGACCCACCAGAGCTGAGGGCTGAGGGACTGGGGGCTGGGGCAGCCTGGGTCCCCATCCCCCTCTCTGTGCCTCGGTCTCCCCCCCTTCCATGGTGGGCGGGGGGAAGCTCCATTATTAACCTACCTCGTTTTAGGGAGGGGTGGGATGGGACCAGAGTGCTGTATGGTGCTGTGGGGTAAAGTGGTGGGGGCTAGGGAAGGTTCCCAGCCCCCACCCCCAGCACCGTCTCTCCCAGGTCTCCCAGTCCTGCTCCCTGCTGATACCCACCTCTGATCCATGATTACCCTTCATGGCCCCCAAGTCAGGGGTACATGGAGGGCTGCCCTGGGAGCCAGGAAGACCTCAGACCCTGGAACCCCCAGGCCCAGTTTCCCAGCTGCTTGCCCCTCGGATTGGATGCTTGGCCCCAGACTTGGGGGAGGCACCCCAACATTTATCTTCCTGATCTTGATTCCAAGCCAGTCTGTGACCTCAATTTTGTTAGCATCAGTGTAGGCTGGGAGGATGGGGGCCAAAGACCCAGCCTTGTCATGGGGGAGGGGGGCATGAGATCCGCTCCAAGAAATGTCTGTGACAAAGTCTCAGTCTGTGTTCTTTATTTTCGTTGCCGCGCCTTGTCCGCTTGCAAGACTGACGCACCACCCAGCTACCTCTGTTCTCCCCCTCCACATCCTTTAGTCTCAAGCCAACTGTCCTGCTGAGTTTCCTACATGCAGCCGCTCAGCAAGTACATTCACAGTGAACCTATTACGTGCCAAGGCCTGTATAAGCGCTGGGGATAAAGCAGTGAACAGAACTGACAGAAATCCTTTGCAGAGGAGTTTATAAACTTCATACTGGGGAAAGACATTACGTAGGTGGCCTAATCTGTTTAAAATGACGTCCCATAGTGGATGAATAAAGCAAGCATAGGGGATACAGGCATTTTTAGCCAGGGTGGCCAAGTTAGACCTCATTTAGTAGCTGACATTTGTTTACTTTTTTTTTTTTTTTTGGTGGAACCAGGGATTGAACTCAGACCCTTGCGCTTGCCAGGGAAGCGCTTACTCCACTGAGCCATCTCCCCGGCTCCAGTAGCTGATATTTGAATAAAGGCATAAAGGAAGTAAAGGGTCTGTAACTGTCCACAGCATTCCAAATAAAGGAAACAGCCAATGCAAGCGCCTAAAGTAGGCGCTTGCCTGGTAAGTATGAAGAATAGGAAGGGAGGGCCAGGGAGACAGCGCAGTGAGTTCAATCCCTGGTACCCTCCCCCCCCCAAAAAAAAAGGAGTTAGCGCGTCTAGAAGACAGCAAGAAAGAAGATGAGGGCAGAGCAGCATCAGGACAGACTTGTGGGACTTTGCAGTCATTGTGCAGACTGGCTTTTTCCCTGGGTGAGGCGGGGCCACAGAAGTCGGAGCATGGGAGGGATCTGACCTGACTCACATGTCCAAGAGCCATCAAAAAAGAACACGTAAAGGCAGGGCGGGGTGACAGTGAGAAGGCTGATGTGATTGTCCAGGAGGAGACAATGGCAGATGAGACCAGGGCCAGGGTAGTGGAGTGGGGAGAAGGGAGTAGTACTGACCTACAAAGGCAGATTGGAAAGTATGGTAAATTTCTACACTTTTATACAAAAGACAAATTGGCATTAATATCCCTCAAAATCTGCTGCTCATTTTGAACACATTTAGCCCTTTGCTGTTGTCACTTTTTTTTTTTTTTTAGTTTTTAGTTTTTAGTAAGGCTCTACAGGGTCTCACTATGTAGATTGGACTTGTAGTGATTTTCCTTTGTTCAGCCTCCCAAAGAGTTAGCGCAAAGTCCTGAGTTCAATCCCCAGTACCTCAAAAAAAAAAAAAAAAAAAAAGAGTTAGCATTACAGTCCCAAAGAGCTAGGATTACAGGCGCACGCCACCGTGCCCAATCTCAAATGCAGTCTCAGCGCTTCCCAGGGGTGGGGCTGGCACAGCAGGCAGGGGATCAAACCGTGGCCACTGCCTCTGTGTAAGCATGCGCTTTAATTTGCTGAGCTATTGGGTCAGCCCCGTTGTCACTTTCTGAAGCAATTTTGGAAGTCCTCTTCCAGAAGTGTCTTTATGAGGTGTGATCAGAAATATGGTGACTGCCGCTGCCAAGTGCTGTCTAACAAACTCATAAAACATTACAGTATGTTCTCATCTACCTTATTCACCAGATCTGGCACCTGTGACTTCTGGCTTTTCTCCAAAGTCAAAATGACCCTAAAAGGTAAACATTTTGAATCAATTCAGGACATTGAGGCAGCCATGATAGTACAACTAAAGATATCCAAGAAAAAAAGACCTGCTTCAGAAAATAGCAAGAATGATGGGATAGGGGCTGGTGAGATGGCTCAGTGGTCTAAAGCACCTACTTAGAACAAGCTTAGCAAAAGCACAGGGACCGCGGTTCAATCCCCCAGCACCACATGCCAGCCAGCCCCGCCCCCTGGTGGGCTGAGCTGGCCACACACACACACACACACACACACACACACACACACAAATAAATAAAATTTTTTTTTTTAAAAAAAGAATGATGGGATAAGTGTGTTCAAAGTAAGAGCTGGAGAGACAGCTCTGTGGCATAAGCACCTGACTTGCATCCACAAGGTCCCAAATTTGAAAAAAAGCAAGGGGGAGTATTTTGGGGTAAACTGATGGTAATGTGTCTTTCACTGTAATACATTTTAATAATTTGAAAAACCTATTTTTTCCTTGTAGTTAGAGCACCCCCACATGTGTTGCACGGTGGAGGGTAGTTAAGTAGGGTCTAGCTATTTCAGACTGGCTTTGGACGAACTGCATATGCCCAGGCTGGCCTTAAGCTCATGGAGCTCCTGAATGCTGGGATTACAGGTATGCACCATGTACCTGGCTTACACTTTGTAGTTTGAAGGCAGAGCTCACAGATTTGTATATGGGGTTTGATATAAAGGAATCAAAACTGGTGAAATAGCTCAGAGTTCAGTGGGAGAGTATGTGTTCAGCATGTGCCAGGTATTGGATTCAAGTACCAAACAACAACAACAACAAAGTACAAATTTTTGGAATAAGCACATGTGTGTGGGGTGTGTGTGTGTGTGTGTGTGTGTGTGTGTGTGTGTGGTACTGGGTATCAAACCCAGGGCCTTTGTCCTAGACTATATCCTCAGCCTTTATTTATTTTTTAAGATAGGGTCTCCCTAAGTATCTAATTGCCCAGGGTAGACTTAAATTTTCCAGCCTGTTGTCCAGTTCCAGATTGATGGGTTTACAGGAGTGCACCACTATGTCCAAGTTGAGCAAATTTTAATGTTTTGTTTGGATTAAGAAATGTCTCCATGAGAGCCCAGATTTGGGACTGGCATATGGAGAATACGGAGACAGCAGATTAAAAGCAGAGTCTGCCCCTGATAAATTCTGGTTCTTCTTTCCTGAGGCTCTCAGTCCACTTCTACTCCCAGGGAAATAAAGATAATCAGAGATATAAGAACAGGAATAATAATTAATAACAATAGCAACATAGTGGCAGTAGTAACTAGGTCCAGTGGTTAAAAAGTGTGAAATTTGGTTCTGGGCACCACCATGAATTTACTGTGACCATGATTTTCCATAAATTTCTTCTGTAAATGGAGACAAGATTTTAGCCCAGTAGCAGACATTAATCAATATATGTTGTTTTTCTTGATCACGTTTTATGTGTGCTAAGCAATTTTTACATAAGAACTAATCAATCCTCATGAAGAACTTTAAGAGTAGGTATTATTACCACCCTTTGGAAGCAGTTTGGTAGGAGCTGGTGAGTGGAATCAAACTGTAACCCTGTCTGCCTGCTTCCTAGGGAGCAATCTCTTTGGCACGGTGTATCTCACCTGCTCCCTTATCCAAGGCCTAGGGATGCAGAGAGGGGAAGACCTTAGGGGCATGTTGTAATTCACGAGGATGGCCTAGCTCTAGTCATGTGAGTGGCAGGCCAGGATGCCGGGAAAGCGCAGAGGCAAATCTCTGTGTTTGGAACAAAGTTGGACGAACAACATTTACCTTGGGGAAAAGACGACTGAGGGAGACTGAGAAAAGACCTCCAAGTTACTTTTATATTATCACAATAGCGACCCTCCTTAACCCGGTCGCCAAGCGCCAGGATAACCCGCAAACTCAGTAATTTTATAACCCGACAGGTTATTTGAAGGACGGCACAGGCGGATCGGGGGAGTGGGTGGGCTCTGCCTTCACTTGCACCAATTAGAGTGCCGAAGTGCCCCGGCGGAGAGATGTTGATTGGTCGGGACTGCTACGGCGCGCGGGGTGTGGCGATGGGGCGGAGTCTGTTAGCGGCCGGAAGGGGGCGCGCGCCGCGGCCAGAGTCAACGCTTCAATGAAGGGGGCGGAGGCGCGCGAGGGGGCCGCGCTGTCCCAGGACCTGCTAGCCCTGGGGTAAGTACGGGTGTGCGACGTGCCGGTAGGTGCAGGAGGGTCAGCTTTGGGTCAGACATGGACGGAGAAGGCTTTACACTGACTCCTGCCCTGCCGCAGGTATGGGGCTTTCCCGGAGGTGGCGTCGCGGGGCACCTCATGCCCAGACTTCAGGGCGCTGTGCGCGCGGCTGGCGGCGGAGCTGGTGACTCTAGGCGCCGTGGAGCGGCAAGATGGGGGCGTCGAGGAGTTGAGCGCGGGCGACGGTGCGTGGGGAGCTGGAGGGCAGGAGGGCTGGAGGGCTGGAGTTGCGGGTCCCGCACCCTGATGTCTTCCGCCTCCCGCAGGCCCCAATGCGGAGGAGGAATTTCTTCGGCAGCTCCCCGGCCTCCTTCGGGCGTTGCACTGTCCGGATCGCGCGCTCTGCGGCGGAGAGGGACGCGCGGCCGAGTTGCGGGAGCCAAGCGCGAGCACCAGGCTGCTGCGTGAGCCCCGCCGGCCCGGGGATGCGGAAGTGGGCGAGGCCAAGGCCTCCGGAGTGGGCGGGCTTCGTGTGGTGTGGGCGGGGCCTTAGGGGAGGGATCAGGAGATTGAGGCTGGCCAGCGGGCCCGAGGTAGGTTGGGTCAGAATAGGGGCGGGTGTAGGGTTGGAATTTTAATAAGAGTCTGAAAACGCAAGTGGGTTGAATCGGAAGGGGCAGGGCACGAGTTGAATTCCCAAGAGGAGGCAGGGACCCGAGTGATGCTTACTTTGAGGCGGAGCCTGGGCTCTGGGTAAACAGAACAAAACTCGTGGAGGTCGTGGCCTTCCTCCTGCACCTGTAAAGTCCCTTTCCCTGTTTTTAGGCTTTCTCTGCTCGGAGCTCCAGGCTGCCCGCCTCTTGCGCTTGCACCCCCGTGTGGACTCTAGCCCTGTGCCTTCCCCTGGGAAAGGGAAAGAGGAAGGAGCCCACATGGTTCAGGAACTGGTCCTCACCCTCCAAGCCCTGAGACTGCCCATACCCCTTCTGGGGACCCCTGCCAGCCAACTACTCCAGGAATTACACGCCAAGGTAGAGACCCAGTCCCTTTTCTACCCCACCTTGCTTGGGGAAATGAGAGATCATTTCTCCAGAAGCAACTGTAGCAGGAGTTCCCAGCCATCAGAGTGTTTTTTCTAGCTGTAGCCTCAATTCTTGTTTTTAAGTCCTGGGTCCTCTGGGCTGAGAGGAACAGGAGCCCATGGAGCTGTCAGTCCTGTTTCTGCCTCAGTTGACCTCTGACTTCTCCCATCAGATCTCTGAGCTGCTGCCTTCCCTGCCCCCAGGGTCCATGCAGCCCCTCCTCAGCTACCCACTGGATGCACCCCAATGGGTAAGATTGTGTATCACTGTGTGTGAACAGTGTTCTCATCCAGAGAAGGGGGTGAGAGGTGCCGCTTGCATGACTGAGACCTTTTCTACCAGGAAGCACTGGAGTCTCTTTCCCAAAGCCTGAAAGATCAGTACTCCTGCCGCCGCTGCCTTCTTCTCAAGCGTCTGGACCTTACAACATCCGCTTTCCACTGGACTGACCGGGCAGAGGTGCGAGCAAAGGACCCTGGCGGGAACAGAGAAGCCCAGTATTAGGGGCCACAGCGGCAGGGAGACGGAATGAAGGCCAGGAAGGAATATTACCTCTTCAAGGTTCTGAGGCATAGGCCATTTTGAGACTCTTGTAAGGCTTGAAGCTTTTGTGATCTCAAGATCTTCCAAGAAATTCTAGCTGTGAGCTGGGAGTGTTGTTAGTATTCACCATACCCCTTTGGAGTGATGTAGGCAGAGAGGGTGCCTTAGTCTGTTTTGTGTTACTGTGACAAACTATCCAAGCCTGGATGCTTTATAAGGAAAAGAGGTTTATCTTGGTGTATGGGTTTGGAGACTGAGAAATCCAGGCTTGGGCACCCAGATCTGGTGAGATGTTATGCTCCATCATAGAATGGTAAACCACATCACAGTAAGTACACTCACTACAAGAGTGGTTAACCTGGAAGCAGACAAATGTGAAGTGGCTCATTTTATAATGAGCTTAATAGCCTATCCAGGCCAGTGAGACCTAACCCACTCTTGCAACACTGCACTGATCCCTTCCAAAGGTGACACCTTCATGACCTAATTAGCTCCCCACAGAGAAAGGTTCCAAAAGTTCTCTGTGCCAGTGCACTGGGACCAGGCTTTTAACACATGGCCCTTTGGAGAACAGAGTGGGAATGATAGGTCCCACTCGGGGAGGGCTCTTGTACCTTTTCCATGTGCCCCATCCCCAGGCCCAAGGAAAGGCTATGAAGACAGTGCTGACCCCACTCCGAGCGGTTCTCACCCCAAAATCTGACATCTCCATCGCACATGTTCTGGCTGCCCGTGCTGATCTTTCTCGACTGGTTCCAGCCACCAGTATGGCAGCCCGCCGAGGGACATGCTGTGCTATCAACAAGGTGGGCGCTAGGGGTAGGGAAGGGCTCAGCATCTGGGGCCTTCACATTGGCCTTTCAGCCCTTGCCCTGGTCCACACTTGTCCTTTTCTCTCCTGATTCCTGTTCCCATGTTCTCCCTGCTTCCTGGCCTCCAGACACACCACCCCTGATCTCCCCACTTCCTGAGACAGAAGGAACTTCCAAACCTCAGAATCTGGGCATGAAGTTTTCTAGTTCAGAATCCTTCTGTGGCTCCCTAGCGCTTTGAAACCAAAATCCTGCTGTGAGTCAGCACCTTCCTCTTTAGCTTGGGTTTAAACTCCTTCCCTATTACTTCACCCTGTCTTTTTTATTAATTTTTAACTGCTTTAAAACAGAAATACTGTTTTAATGATTAAATACATAGTCTCATACCTCTGGTTAAGCAGTCTTAAACTTGTGTTGCACAAATTGCTAAGTACTTAGAAAAAAACCCCACTACTTTGCTAGAAGTGTTGTATAAAGCCCATAAATGAAACACAAAATCAAGTTGCTCTCTGAACTTGTCACTGCCACCCTTCCTTTATTTTCTGTCCTTTGAGGCCCTTGGAGCCTCAAAAGTGTGTGTGTGGAACCGGGGATTGCACTCAGGCCCTTGCGCTTGCCAAGGAAGCACTTACTCTATTGAGCCATCTCCCCGGCCCCGGTATCTTCCATCAGTCCAGCCCCTATGTGCAAATAATCAACACTCACTTTTCCTTCAGCCTGGAGCTGTTCCCTTTACTCTCTGGCTCCTTTACCCAAGATATATTTCTTTCTCTGACACTCAAGTCTAACCAACTCTCAGGTACTTATGGGTGATGTGCCAGACCGAGGGGGCCGCCCAAATGAGCTGGAAGCGCCCATGCCCACCTGGCAGAGCCGGAGAGAAGATGGAGGAGGGCGGAGAACAGGCCGCCAGCACTGGGGCCAAAAGAAGAAAAAGAAGAAGTAAAGGAAGATGAGGGCGTCTGAGATGCTGATGGCAGTTGGAGGGTTTTCCCTGGCATCTGGCACCCAAGCCCCTCCATCCTATTCTGAAGTTCTCCAGATGTCATGTACCCATCTACTACTCAACACCAGAACCATGTTCTATGGAAAATAAATTTAATTTTCAATAGGAGTGGGACCTGTTTCTGTGGGAGCCAGGTCAGAGGTACGTGGTTTGTGGAGGGGTGGGGGTGGGGGTCTCTGCCTTAGCTCTGGCCAGATCCCTGCCCCTCTGACTCTACAAAGTCTTTCATTTTTCAGCAACACACCTGTCCCTGTGGGTGTGGGGAAGGGCACATTTAGATACAAGACAGGACTTACCATGTTTCTACCCTGAGCCAACCCTGTTCTAAGCACGGGGGATACAACGTGGAGGACCCAAGAGTTCCCACCCACCTGAAACTGACATTCCTGGTGAGGGGGGCAGATGCCATACAAGATAAACAGGCGAAATACAAGATTGTCACAGAAGAGAAGCACTATGGAAAAAATAAAGGCGGCAAGATTGGCAGTGGGGAGGACCATGTCTTTGAGTATGGTTAAGGAAGGCCTCACAAAGGGGATATGACTATAGCCAAGTGCCAGACAGGAGTTCAGAGGTCTCATGGGAAGAGCATTCCAAACAGAGGGAACAGCTGGTGCAAAGGTCCTGAGGTAGGAGTATTTGTTCAAGAACACTGAGGCCAATGTAGCTGAAGCAGGATAAGTGATGAGGTAAGGGGTAGGGGCAAGGTCGGGGACATGATGGGGGAAGATCATGTGGGGCTTTCAGGGCAACAGTGTGGACTGGTTTTGCCCCTGAGCAGGGGTTGGATGGGACCTAGTTCATTCTTACAGGTTCTAGGTGTTTCTCGGCCTTCTCTGCTGTCTCAGCGACCCCACTTTCAGAACTCTGCCCACTCCAGCTGTGCCCCTCTGTCCCTCTCCAGTGTGTGTTTAGCACATTGGCCTAGAGTTTCAAGCATAGAGGACCAAGATTTTTGTTTTGTTTTTTAAAGCTGGATCTTGCTATGTAGTTCAGGCTGGCCTTGAAGTCACCATGGAGTCCAGGCTGACCTCAAACTTGTGGCAATCCTTCCACCTCAGCCTCCTGAATGCTGGGATTACAGCTGTGGCACCACCACACCAGTTGAGGGCCAGGATTTGAGTCCTGCTTCTCATCCTCGGGGCTCTGTGACCTCGGGCCAGGAGTTCAGCCTCACCAAGCCTTAATCTCATCTGTGAGTGAATATTTAGGAAGTTGGTGAGATGCCTAAATCTGCACATATCCAGAATGAAGCTACCAGATGCTAAGTGTGGAAAAAGGAAGTTTGCATAGTAGTCACTGTGATGCGGAAGAGGAACATTTAAGGAATAAGACGATGGCCGCTTCATCAAAGGCAGTAGGCAGTGTGTGTGTGGAGGAAGTTTGTCTTTGGGAGTTCTAGGATGACATGGGGCTGGGAGAGAAGCCCCAAATGATGTGGATTCCGGCTTGGAGGATGAGGTGCACGGGAGGTCACTGGGAGGGGGACCTGGAAGGAGGAAGACAGGTGATAAAAGGGATATTTATACGAGACAGTTACTGCTAGGAGCAGTGCCTCCCCTGGAATATGGCTGAAAGTGGGTGAAAGTGGGTCCCCTGTGGACTTTGTGTATTTGTGTTTTACACTTTTATTTTCCCCACTAAGTAGCACAGGCTGGTCTTAAAGTTGTGATCCTTCTGCTTCAGCCTCGGGCGTGGAGCACCATGTGTAGCTTTAAAAAAACAAACATCTGAATCTCTGCCTTTGAAGAGGAAAATTTACTCGACCAGTATTTATTGTAGGTACTGATATAATTGGCCTTCTTTTGCCCTCTTACTGGCTTTCCCCCAAAATCATTTCCTGACTGGGAAGTTACCTCTACCCCACGACATAGTGAAACTTTATTTTCCTGTCAACATTAAAAATTGGCCCATATCTGTGTCTTCCCACCCAAGTGACTAGGGCTTCTTATACATTTTTATTTTGCTGTGATTCCCAAAATTTCTCTGGTTTCCATTTGAGGGTAGAGGGCAGTTCCAGCTCACCATCTCTGGTTCTCAGGAAGGGTGTGGGGACTCTGTCTGGGTCCAAACGTGGTGAAGGTGGCACCTGGTCTCAGCTTCCAGGGACAATGTGTAGGAGAAATTTTCCTCAGAGCCTGTTTGGAGAGCAGTGGGCAGAAAGGATACACACGTGAGGGAAGGATGTTAGGAGCAATCCTCATTCACTGGGCCCCCTTTCTAGCGCTGCTGGGCTCAGGGTCTCACCACAACTGGCAGGGGGCGCTGGTGTGGGTGGGACAGGCATCTCGGGGGGCCCGGCATCACCCTTGGCCCCTGGCCTCTTCTTGCACTCTGCCTTCACTTGGTCTCTGCAGTGCCTGTGGCAACACAGCCCACAGTCTGGGGAAAGAGAGGGGTTAGTGCCGTGCACCCTTCAGCCTGCAGGTCCTGGCATCCCACTCACTCCAGGATACCCCCACTCACCCCGACAGCGGTAGCCCTGCTTGGTGACACCCCAGAGCTGGGAAGAGAAAGCAGAATAGGTCACCCAGGCTTGAGGAGGGAGAGCTGTGGGCTGGGCTGTGCAGGGGATGGGGACAGAAGTATGGAAGCTACCGAGTTTTTAAAATTCCCAAGAACTTGATGATTTAACTTGAATGAAAGGAATTTGAAGATTACTTCAAGTTTGGGGAAGCATGTAGGCTATCAGCATCTGTAAATCCTGAAGTTAGCCAAATGCACATTCACCATGCAGGGACTGTATTTCTTGTTCCTGTGGTATACACACGGGATGTGCTCAGTACAGGCTTAAAGGTGGAAGAATAAAGTTGGGAATAATCTGAGGTTTATGCTTTGGTCCGTTTGGAGACGTGGAAACCTGTCCATAGTCCGGAGTTAGGGGGTGCCTAGAGCTTGGAAATACAAAGGTTTTGGATGATTTGGAGTCTAGAAATGTTGAGGCAGATTCTCTGTGGACACAGTCTACACAGGGTGTGCAGATTATACAACATTTTGGAGATTTTAGATATGCATGCTTTGGCAATTGTCCATGGTGGAGATTATTTGGAATTTTGACCCTAACTAGAATTTGGAGATTATCCAGACTAGGAATGTCAAGTGTTTAGGGTTTATATGAAATATGCAGAATATTTGAGGTGGGGGGTGTGTTTCTGGAATTTTGGCATTATCTGGGTGTGGGGACACCCCCTCGCACACTCCATGGCAGAGCTGGCTGCTGTGAGCAATTGGGGTGCTTCAAGGGAGATGGAAGGAGATGGGCTAGGTGGGCGCTAACAGGGCAGGGTGCTCACGAAGCCACTGCAGCTGTGACAGAAGGCAGGCTTTCGGAAGACGACCTCATGAAAGGTGTGCAGGAAAGCCAGGTCCACCTTGGAGCAGATGCTGCTGGCTCGGAGCAGGTACTCGGTCAGCTCCTCTCTACTGAAGGAGCCACTCCTAGGGTGGAGACCGTGCCTCAGCATGACAGGTACCTTCCTCCCCACAACCCCAGGGTCCTGTCTTTGGGAAAACCAGAAGGTAGGGCCACTCACTCTGGGCGAGGGGGTGGGTGGAGCCCATGGCAAGCAAAGGGGAAGTTGCCAGAGAGGTGTTCAAAGTCCTCTTGAGAGATGGTGCCACGTCCTTCTGGGTCATAGTTCTTGAACACGGACTGGAGAGGAGTGGAGAAGGCAGAGTGAAGCCCAGATCCAGGCCCAGCCCCATGGCCCGGTATCCTTTGCCCCTTCAAGGCCATGCCACAGTCTCTCTTACCTCTACCAGTTGCTCCACATGCCGTTCTAGGGTGACCCTGTCTGGCCTGGGTGTCACACCTGGGGCCCACTCTACCACCAGAAGCTCTTTGAAGGGGGAAGGTGGCTGGAGGGAGAACAGAGGGTTTTAGCTGGTGCACAGGCTTGAGCAGAAAATTACAGGTCGGGGCTCCGTCTCACCAGGCTCTTGGGATAGCGGGGCTCACGGGCGTAGGAAAGCTGGTAGATCTCGTCTTCCGTGTAGAAGAGATCCAGGGAGAGCTGGGGGTGGACAGGCGTTACACACTACTGTTGCCATCTTGGACCCCTGGTATGCTTTTTTTTTTTTTTTTTTTTTTTTTTTTTTTTTTTTGCGGGGGTGGGGTAGTGGTAAAGGGGTTTGAGCTAGGGCCTTTGCACTGAGCTGTACTCCCAGCCTCCCCTTTGTTTTGTTTTTTGAGACAGGGTCTTGCTAAGTCACTAAATTGTCCAGATTGGACTAAAACTTAAAGAGATCTCTCTATCTGGGCTCCCAAAGGACTGAGATCACTGGTGCATTCCACCAACCCCAGTTTATTCTCTCAATCTCACTTTTTTTTTTTTTAAGATTTTAAAAATTATTTATTTGGTACAGGGTCTCTGCCATGCAACTTGGACTTCTAGATTCTCCTGTCTCAGCCTCCCCAGTGCTGGGATTACAGGCATGCATCATCACACCCAGTTTGTGCCTAGCTTGAAGCAGGGCCAGCATGGCATGTGATATTATGGATCAAACCTGGGTCCTTGCACTTGTCAGGCAGGTACTTAAGACTGCTGAGCTATCTCCCCAGCCCAGTTCATCCTCTTTTTAAAAACTCTTCACACACCACATGGCCCCTGCTTTCTGCTAGTCTACAAAGGCTTCATCCTCCTTGATGCTCTTTGATATTCCTACTTAAAATTGCAACCCTGACCTCTTTCTGGACCCCTTTTTTGGCCTTAGTTTTCTCTATAACCCTTGTAGTCTAAAAGTAAGACTTGATTTCATTGGCTATCTTCCCCCAAGAACATCAGCCTTATAGAAGAGCAGTTTTTTTGGGAGGCTGTGGGAGATTGAACCCTGGGCCTTTGTGTTGAAGTACATTGCTAGCCCCTTTTTTAATTTTTTTTAAGACAGAGTCTCACTAAATCACTAAATTGCCCAAGCTGTGCTCAAAATTGTAATCTTCCTGTCTCAGCCTCCCAGAATGCTGGGATTACAGGTGTATACCATCATACCTAAATCGAATTTTTAATGAGTTAGAACAAAGAGCCCAGGGCCAGCCAAACAGCTCAGCAGATTAAAGTGCCACGCTGAGACAGTGATTGAGACTAGGCGTGGTGATGTGCACCTGTAATCCCAGCTCTGGAGGCTGTAAACAGGCAGATCACTACAAGTCTGATCTAGTAGTGAGACACTGAACACCCTGTAGACCCTTCCCTAAAATTAAAAAAAAAGAACAAAAAGCCTATGTTTTCATTTTGCACTAGGCTGTGCTAGTTATGGAGCTGTTGTTTTAGGATCTGAAAATTCACCTTTCGGGGCTTAGTTTACATGGTTCTCAGAGTCTGTCATTGTTAAAAGTCTTAAGGTAAAGAAGAGTCAGTTTCCTGTACTCAGTACAGTTGTCAGCACACTAGCGCGCATCCTGAGTAGCTGTCCTGCCTTTATTTATTTAGTGGAACCGGGGATTGAACTCAGGTCCTTGTGCTTGCCAGGGAAGCACTTATTCTACTGAGCCATCTCCCCTGCCTTGATTTAAACATTGATTTTTACTATTGTGGCACAGAAGGTAAATGATCTCAGGTGTCTCCTGGTCTCAGCTTTCCAGTCCATTGAAAGCTCTGTATGGGACTGTGAATTGGAATGAAGTGAGCTGGGCAGTATTAATGCGGTGACTGGCATATAGCAAGTGATCGAGAGCTGTTTAATTTCTGCTTAGATTCCAAATATGTCAACAACTGTAATTTTGAACTATTGGCATGAAAAGCTCAGAACCTGCAGCTGGGTTGGGAGGGTGCACACCTGTAATCCCAGCACTTCGGAAGCTGAGGCTGGAGGATTACCTTGAGTATGAGGCAGCCTTCATTAGTGAGTTCAAGCCCAGCCTGAACTACATAGAAAGAACCTGTCTCCAAAAACATTGAATTTTTTTTTTTAGGGGAGTACCAGGGATTGAACTCAGGGCTTTGTGCTTGCCAAGCAAGCACTTATTCTACTGAGCTATCTCCCTGGCCCTAAATTTTTTTTAAAAAGCACTCAAACTTGGT